GATTGTTTTTGGGTTCGGGGGGTAGACTATGAAAAGGGAAGGTGCTAGCACCCTTTTCATCCATGGTTTTCCATGGGCTCTTAGTTATTTGTTTTAGATCACTTGCTTTTGCTTTACAATTGTTTGAAATGGTGCTTTGTGTGGTTTTGAAAGTATTTTGAAAAGAGGCCTTTGTTTAAGCAATCTTTGTAATGATTCTTGTTTGTAAGAATGTATATAAAGATGTTTGTCTTTTGAAAAATGATTCAATGTTTTAAGGTTGTTTGGAAAATGTTTTGAAATTGTGTGTGCTTGTTTGAAAATAGCAAGGATTGTTTGCAAGTTTGATCAAGTAACTAGAAGCATCTACCTACTCAAAAGTCTTTCCTACACATTTTTATTCCTTTGATGTTGTTGACCTACCATTGTTTTGGTAGGTAACCCTATCTTTGGATGTTAAACGGGACGGGCGTGGGTCATCGTATGACCATGATAACAATATTTCCAAGTATCTTAGCAAGTTTTGAGGGACCAAGATCATTTGTTTTTAGGCAACCAAGATAGCGTCATCGAGGGACTATGATCTTTTTGTTTTGTTTGATTTTGCCAAGATACCTAGCATGCATACCATGGCCATGTTTTAAGGAAACCAAGTGGGTGAAACCCTAGAGTTGCTTGTGTGCAATGTGTTGTCATTTTTCATGCATTTTTGTCTTGAATTAGGTCATGCTATTTGTTTGATTTTGTCTTCTCATACAAACCCTAGTTTTTACTAAACATGCCTATAATACGATAAATTGCATAAAGTAAATCTATACTATTACAACAATATTATGGGGAGGGGGATACAAGTTTTGAATGGAGATATTTGCACAAAATAAAACCCTAGTTTACTATTACAACCCAATTGAATTTATTGTACAAATAAATAAATAAGCAATATTTAAATAGGCAATAAAATGTAAATATACAAAAATGTTTCGTAATTGTTTTATGTATGAGAAAATAATATTATCTAAGTCCTAAAAATAAGAAAAATAATGTTATTATTTTTGAAAGGGTGAAAAACCCTAGTTTTGATTTAATAGAAAATATTGTTTTCTAATATTTATTTGTCCATTTTTGTTTAAGAAAAATAATAATAATATTATGTATAAATATTAAAAATTAAAATATGTGAGAAAATAATATTTTATGTGTATAATATAATAAAATAAAATATTTAAGTATTTTAATATTATTTACAAGTTTATTTAAGAAAATAAATTCTATTTAACCTAATAAACTATTTTTATGCCATAAAAATAATAAAATAAAAATGCAAAAAAGTAAGAAAATATTTTTTATGATTTTATAATGTTCAGGAAAAAAAATAAAGTTAAAAATATAAAAATAACAAAAAAAATATGAAAAATAACAAAATATGAATCGGGGGGGTGCAAAAGCAAAATGGGGGGTGTGAATAGAACCAGGCCCAAGGCGCCAGGCCCAGACAACCTTCATCCCTGACCTTGCTCCTTCGCCCCAAACGCGCGCTTCTGTATTCAAAACCTGTTCTTGCTATTCTTTGCATAAAATCAAAAACTTGTAACATGAAAAATGTAGCTCATGATCACACGATTCCAATGATATAAAGAACATGACCTAACTCTCAAAGATCAGAGAGAATTTTAATGGCCCTAATTTCAGACCTAGTTTTTTCAGCATTTTCAACATCCAAATACTCTTAGCTCAGTTAATATAAATGGAATCTATGCATATGTACAGCTCAAGCATGTTAAGGACTACATTTTTGCTTCACAAACTTAAGCTTAAAGATGCCTAACTAGAGAGATAGAAACTTGACAAATACCTTGTTCAGTTGAGTTTGAATATGGCAATGTGGGAACTTCGAGTGAGGCCTGAAGTTCTTGTGAGCTTTCTTGAAGTCCTCTCAAGCTTCTCCAATGCTTAACTTGCCTTGAAGTTGTCTGAATCTCCCTGTAGAAGTCAACTTGCAAACCTTCAAAGTGAAAATGGTGATCCTTGAAATAGGGGTTACAGTTGCAAGACACATGCCTGGATAGTTTAGATAGGAGGTATGGAATGTGTTTGAAGTGATTCCAAGTAAAACGCACGAGGCAATATGGAAATGGCTTGTGATTTGCAGAGATTACCCTGTTTTGGGAAGAAATGGTGTTTTTTCTATTTTGGAGTGTTTGAGAGGTTGGAAATTCGTGTTTCTTGCTTGTTACAATGTTCTGATATTGTTTGAAATAATGCCAAGGCTTGCCTTTATCAGATGGATGAGATCCCTTGACTTTTGCAAGTTTCTTGCTTTTGAAGAAAAGTTGGAAGTGACAATGCCAAAGCCTGTACAAGCTTGCTTGCTAGCTGCACATAGTTGGTAAACTTTGCCTGATAACTGTGGATCTTGTTTGCAAAAAGAGATTAGGTCCATGGCTCAAGAAATGCAAAGTTGTAAAAGCAAGCTTTATGAAAATGATATTATGAACTTTATGCCATTTTTGGATTAATTCAATGTACAATGCTCCAAAGATAAAAAATAAAGCCATTGTCCACTGAATTAGCATTCGATTTTGGAGTGTAGAAATGATTAGGACCTGTAATGCAAGTACAAGTATGTTTGAAACTGATTTGCAACTTGAACCATTGTAAAAAATGCCTTGCACACAAGTGATAAATTGCCATTTTCATTTTTTCGATTCTCCCTAACCATAAATGATCTTGGAGAGTTCTTGGAAATTTTGGAAATCTTGTAACATACTATACAATCCATCTTTGAAATGAATTTTGAGATTCCTCTTGGAACTAGGTGAAAAGTTGCCATGAAGTTAGGTCAAAAATCTGCCTAAACTAGGGCAAAATTTCACTAAGTTAAAATGTTTATGGACCCTTATTCACAAAATCATAACTTGAGATCCAAGCATCCTTTTGGAAAACTTTGTGTATAAAAGTTTTATATTTCATGGAGGACTACAACTTTCATGTTGGGAGTTTTATTTGAATCCAATTTCATCATGGTGAAAAAGTTGTGGAAAGTTGGGAAAAAATAAGAAATTTCCATAACTTGGAAAAATTCTAAGTTATGAAAAATTTCAAATTAAAACCCTAATTTTCAAAATTAGGTTTCTTGGTCAAAAAGTTTCACATTTTGACATATCTTGATGAATTATGACCCTTGGCACTTGATTTTGACCAAAAAGTCAAAATTTGACTTTTCAGTGTACAGTTGATTTTTAATCAGTTGACTGGAAAATTCATCTGTCAATCCTATGCATTTGAGATCTTTTGAATCATGTGATTAGGTAAAGATGATGTAATTGATTCCTTGAAATAATGATTAAACCCAATTGGTCATTGTCTAGGTTAAAAATCAGAAATTGCACTTTCTCAGTCAAAACCCTAATTTTGACCATTTTGCCCTTTTGATGATCTGATCAAATTTCTTGAGGAGTTGTGGTCCAAACTTGATCAAATGGTTCATATGATTCTATAATGTTGATGTGGATCAAAAGTTATGAAGTTTGACTGTAAATTGTCCATGGTTGACTTTTTCCCCAATACAGCTGATTTTTAGGTCAACTGTCCAATTGACTGGGCAAAAATGTGATTCAAGACTTGAAACTTGGTATGAGCAATCTTAAGGATCCAAGATGGTGTATGAAAGTCACACTAAGCATTGATGGTCCAAAAATCCTTGTGCAAATTCAAACCCTAATTTCAGGTCATCAGTGCAAGAGGAGGTCTTGAGCTGAGAAAACCCTAATCTGGTCTTGAGTCCAAGAAGTCTTGTGAGGAAAAATCTTGATAATATGAGAGGGAAAATTTTGGGGTACAACAGCTGCCCCTGTTCAATATTCTTGAACCTGAAGAGTTAGATTGGCGAGTTTTCCGTTCGTGACTCGAAGGTAAAAGATGATTGGACACTAGAGTGCCCGTAAATTTGCACTCGTCAAAATGTAGTTGAGGGAATGGACTTAAAGATGCCATTTGGAGATGTGATAGAATCTTGTTGGAGATGGGCTTAAAGATGCCATCCAAGGATGTTGGTTGAATTGTATGTTGTAAGTCAGAAGAATAAATATCAAAATGGTATTCGTGTCTGGAACGTATCTAAACTGTATCTGGAGACTTCTAATGAGAAACAGAATAACATCCGTGTATAGAGCGTCTCTGAACTATATCTGGTAGTTGGAATCTGAATGAGCAATAGGATAGCATCCGTGTCCGGAGCATCTCTGAGCTGGGGAAAATTAGAATAGGTGACATAATGATAACCGTGTCTGGAGCGTATCTGAACTTGAATTTGAATAAGTGACAGAATGACTTCCATGTCTGGAGTGTATCTGAACTTGAATTTGAATAATTGAATCTGAATGAGAAATATAATGGCTTCTGTGTCTGGAGCATATCTAATCAGTATCTGATAGTTGAAATCTGAATAAGTATCAGGATGACATCCTTGTTTGGAGCGTACCTAAATATCAGCCGAGATGTTTCCTCCGTTGAGTACGGACGATCGAAGATCCTAAATATCAGCAGAGATGTTTCCTCAATTGAGTACGGACGACGAAGCTCCTAAAATTCTATTTCTCTCAACAAAGATCATACTTCCCCAACAACAAGTATACAAGCTCTCACTAAGGAATCTCTTATGCGATCGACACTCCTTCAGATGGCATCTTTAAGCCCATCCCCTCGTCAACAAATTCCAAATGGCATCTGCAAGCCCATTCCCGACATCATAAGACAGATACCACGTCATGTGAGTGCAAATTTCTGGGTATTCTAGTGTTCAATCATCTTCTACCTTTGGATTACGAAAGGCACGAAAGCCAATCTACATCCTCAGGTTTAAGAAGATTGAACAGGGGCAGATGTTGTAACCCAAAATTTTCTCTCCCATATTTCTCAAAACATTTCAAGAAAGATTCCCAAGTTGCTCAAGGTAGTCCAAGGGTTGGCCAGACAAGCTCTCTCCTAAGGCAGTCTACCTCAAATTAGGGTTTCATGTTGCATCAAGAAGCTCTAAGCTTTCCTAATACATCACAAGAAGCTCTAAGCTTTCCTAATACATCAGTCTCCTTATTGTGATGATGATCAAGATAAGCAGCTTCGTCAAACACCTTACTTGATGATGATGAACATGGCTTTGGTTGTTTCAAAGATTCCCAGTCGTCTCCATCCCACTCCATTGGCGAAGCTGCTTTGCAACCGTTTCCCATATTTTCTTACACAACAATAATTAGCTTACAGATTATTTTCTAGGAGAATATATATTGGTTTATGTTTATTTAACTATATGTATTATTAAACTCTGAGAAGAATAGATTTTGGAACCAGGAGAGGATTAACTCGATATATACATGTATATATAAGTGTGATATGTCAAAAATGGTGATGAAGGGAAAATTTGAGGTTAATGTCGTTGATAGCAGGTGGATCAATTAATTAATAGTAGTATATGATTTGTTTATTAATAATACGAGCTAGATAAGTGTGATTGGTGTGCATGGCAGTCGTAAAGGGTGTGTGAGGGTTTCATTTGTTGACCATATAAAATGACTTAATCGTGTACGATCTTTGTTTCCAAATATGTGTGAACTGAAGGAAGAGGTAATTAATAGCACCTGCCTAATACTACCATAGTACTTACTTCTAGGCAGGTGAATGTGAATGGACATATAATCATATTTATTAAAGTAGAACCTTGACATAAGCGATTACTCTTTAAATCATGTGTGAAGTTAGGAGTGTGGTGAAAATTTTGAGATTGGGAGTAGTGACCTCGAGAAGGAACGAAGATGTGTTGATTGGGACTTCGAGAACACGCGCATTGATGGATATTAAATTTGTATTTAAAATATTTTGTAGTTTAACCTCTTCATATGACTCTGGACTTCAGGAGACATGTGGTATTTTTTAGAGTGCTTGAGTATGGTGATCAAGTCGAGGTTAAATTTGGACTGTTATTATGTTTGTTTCTTTTTCTCGATCTTTGGTTGTAGATCTTGAGGCTATTTATTGCCAATATATAAAGATTAGAGGGTGAGTCTGATTTTCTTTTTGCTATCATCGCTTGTTAAGCCCTTTAACATGCTCATCTGAATCCTTATCCCCTCATAATTATCCAGCTTTGATGGCTTTTCAAGAGATTTGAGGATCGTCTTATCAAGGACATGTTTAGAGGATGGTTTTTCTTGCCGTTAGAGAGGGCATGTGTTTTGTTGTCATGTTTATCTCTTCTCTAAGAGTGATGCAATGGAGACTTTTCTGGAAAGGGGATTCTCATGTGACGTGTGATTGACTTCTCCACCTTTGAAACTGTGACAAGAAGATTATTGAGCTCAAGGATAAGATGCTTTGGTGATTTGGGGACACCCTAGTAATGTGAGGCGGTGTTGCCAAGAACCGACTAAGGTGGGTCTTTAAAGTTATCATGTTGTGTTACCTCCCACAATGTGTGACCTCTAAGACAAAGTAACTTATTGATTTTCTTGGATTCATAGGAATCTTTCAGCTAGGTAGTGTGTGGTTGTTGTTGTACCAAATTGCTAATCATACTATTTAGTCATTCCTTTATTGCATTTTAAAGGTGGTTTTGAGTTGTTGGAGGCTGTAAAACACTCTTGGTTCGGGAGCTGGTGTTTGTGGTTGTCGTCACTCTAGGGTAAGGCCTAAAAGAAACTATTAGAATGGTTGGAAGGTCGCAAAAATCAGAAAAGTGTCTAGTCCGATAGGAGGAGTGAATGAAACTTGATGAGATGGTTGGAGGAGTTACAAGAACTAGATTAGTTTACTTTATAGGAGAAGACAATACCTTCTATGCTGGTGTGACGACTTCAATCGCAACACCGACATTGCAATGTGGGGTTATCAGAGATTACATGGAAATTACAATCTCTCAGGGAGAATGACGAGGATTAGATCAGAAGAAAGAACAATTGTGGTGGCACAATAAGTAAGATTTGGTGGATTTCTAGGTAAATTCACTTGAATCAGGATGATTCTCACCGAAGACGTCACTATTTTAGTGAGAAGCGGGAGATTGGTGAAATGTAAACATAGAGCCCCTCTGGTTCAATGGAATGGACCTCTGATGCGGTGGAATGGAGATGTACTTGCAATGTTAGCACTAAAATGTCCAAGTCGTTGAGGTCATAAAGGAGTAACTTTGCAAGAGTGTAATAAAGTATCGACTAAGACCAGTATAAGAGCTTTTATATGGTAGGCGATTAAAACCACCGTCGCCCGACCCAACGTGAAATATGTGCGTTCGTCTAATTAGATCCAACAACCGATGATCAACAAGTAGTCCTGATTTAATTTGTGATCTTATGATTATTCTTCCACCCCTTTGCAAAAGTATTATGGATTGAACTCGATATTGAACTAGTTGGCTGATCGGAAATAATTACAAAATACACATGGTCAGTCTGAAACAGTTACAAAATTCATATTTTTAGCATATATTTAACTTTTTGTTTATTTTTGTATACTCTTGTTACTTTTTTTGCTATGGTTTTTAAACTGTTACCTATTTTTCTGTTGCCTAAAGTCTAAAATGCTGTAATGAAAGTAGTTATATATTTGTTTTGAAAATTATAGATGTGTTTGAGACTTTGGTGTTATAATAATTTTTAGTTAATATTATTATTGAATTATTATTTGACAACGAGTATGATTTTTTCTCCGATTTATACTCTTGTGTTATTAATGTCTTGTGTGTTGGTGAAAGGTGATGTCTTGTGACACATATACCTCTTCTTGTAACGAACCATTTAAAAATGCAGACTTCTCATCCAGATGTATCAAAGGCCAATTTGTGTTTGCAGCTATAACAATCACCAATCTGATTGTTTCGTGTCTAGCTACAGGCGCAAACACCTCAAAGTAATCTAGCCCGGGTTTCAGAAGAAAACCTCTAGCCACTAGTCTCGCTTTGTGTTTGCCAATTGATCCATCTGAATTAAGCTTCACCTTGAAAACTCATCTGACGCTGATGGCTTTCTTCTTTTCTGAAAGCTTCGTCAACTTCCATGTTTTGTTTCTTTCAATAGCCTTAAGTTCTTCCTTCATGGAATTCAACCATACTTTCTTCTTATGAGCTTCTTCAATACCCACTGGTTCAGAATCTACTAACATGGCACACTGAACGACTTCTCCTTCCGAATCTACTTCAGTATCATGCAACATGCTAAAATCTGCAAACCTACTTGGTATTTGTCTGATTCTATTTGGCCTCTGAACTTGTTCTGAAGCTTCTCCAAAACTTGGAACAATGATAGCTTCGGGACCTTGTCTAGAACTACTTCCTTCAGAATTACCACCTTCAGAGTTACTTCTGGAAGCTTGTTCTCCAGACCCTATGTCTTCAGAGTTTTCCCTTCCAGAAATATAATCACCACCAGATTCTGGATCATCATCAGAATCTGGATCAGAATCAGATCCACTATCAGAATCTCCATGAGATTATGACTCATCTTCAGAGTCTTCAGATTCATCTTCTGACTATGACCCGTCTTTAGAACTTTCTGAAGAATCTTCAGAAACTAAATCTGATGTTGGCGCTATACCAGAATCTGATTGAAGCTTGTTCCAATCCCATGTTTCTGACTCTTTCAAAATAACTTCTCTCCTGATTTCAACTTTTTTAGTTTCTGGACAGTAAAGCTTATAGGCACATGTACTGTGGTACCCCACCAGTAACATTACTTTGCTTCTATCATCTAGTTTCTGTCTTATAGCTTCTGGAACGTGTTTGTAGCATACAGAACCAAACACCCTCAGATGGATAACACTTTGCTTGTCTCCAGTCCACTTTTCTAAAGGAATAATTTCTTCCAGCTTCTTCGTTGGACACCTATTCAGAAAATATGCTGACGTGGCAACATCTTCTCCCCATAACATGTGAGGTAGCTTCTTCTCTTTCAGCATACTTTTGGTCATATCAAGCAAAGTTATGTTTCTTCTTTCAGCAAGACTATTGTGCTGAAGAGTATATGGAGCAGTAACCTCATTTTCTATTCCATTCTCCTCACAGAATTTCTAGAACTCTGTAGAGTTATACTCACCTCCACCATCCATTCTCAGAATCTTCAGCTTCTGACCACTCTGCTTCTCAGCCTTCACCTTGAACTTCTGGAACTTAGTAAACACTTCATGCTTGAACTTGATGAGTGTTACCCATATCATTCTTGTGAACTCATCCACAAAAGACACAAAATATTTGTTTCCTCCAAGTGAAGATATTGGAAATGGTCCACACACATCATAATATACTACTCCCAAAGCATGCTTCACTCTGGGGGCTACTTCTGATGCAAATGGAAATCTGGGTTGCTTGCCTTTCATGTATATCTCATATGACTTCTCAGGCTTCACAATCTTAGAAATGCCATATACAAGCTTCTTAGAACTTAGATGCCCTAAGCTTCTATAGTTCAAGTGCCCTAACCTCTTGTGCCACAACTTACTGTCACCTTCAGCGCCTTCTACACTAAGACACAATGCTTCAACTGTTTCTACATTCACCTTGAATATTTTGTTGCTTCTCTGCTAAAACTTCATAATCAACTTCTGATTAGAATCATATAACGTCAAGAGGTTGTACTTCATAATAACTGAGAACCCTTTCTCAATGAGCTGACCCACACTCATCAGACTGATTTTGATTCCAGGAACATACCAAACATCTTTGATCAGAATGTTTTTTCCATCCTTCACTGACTCTGACATTTCCCACACCTTCTGCATTAAGATGCTTATCATCAGCACACCTGATCTTTGTTCTCCTTCTGGAGTCAAAGTCTACCAGCCATTGTTTATTCCCAGTCAAGTGGTTTGAACGACCAATGTCGATATACCACCAATCTTCTGAAAACTTTTCATCAGAATCAGAAGTCATCAGTAGCACAGGTTCATCATTATAATCTCCTTTGGCTATATTTGCTTCTTCTGATTTCCTTCCTCTGTTTCTACAATCTCTGGAAAAATGGCCAAACTGTTTACAACAGTAACATTGAACCTTCTTCTTGTCATGCCTTTCCTTTCCTTTCTGATATTTCTTTTCAACAGAAATTGAGGTTTCTGACTTATGGAATTTATCACCACATCTATTCTGCTTCTGGTCCTTCTTGACAAAAGAAGCCTTCAGAGCTTTCTCCACTTCCCTCTCAGAAGTTCTTTCAGTCAGACGCAACTCCTGCGCTTCTAGACTGCTTTG